TACAACATAGCACTCATTCCTGATGTGAAACTTCATCTCTCTGCGGCTGTGCGCCAGCGACAGTGCCCCAATGCTCACATATCACGAGACGCTGAAAGTATTCCAGTCTCATATGACCTGCTGAAAAGCCAACGTGCGGTGGATCACATTTCCTTTTGCGTATGTGTGTGTTACATTTACACCTACATCACACACACACACCAGCAAAGACACTGAGAACAACAACGGTGTGGATATAAATAAGGGTGCCATTATTATGAAAAGATGTCAAAAAAGATTTATAATCCCTCGGGCTGTGTGCTGAAGCACGTGTTTTTTTTTGTTTTGTTTTTATTTCAGTCCTCATACACAATTTCACAATAATGATACATTATTTTACATAATAATTGAAAAAATATAGCCTGTAGCCTTATTTTACTTACCCTTTTTTTTTTATAAGAAGCATCAATTCCACTACTAAATTCTAAATTTAACCTAAACTAAAAGATACAAAAACAAAAGTACTCACCCTCAGGCCATTTTAACTTTAAACCATCATTTCTGGCCAAATACAAGTTCATAATCCATAATGACAATTTCTCATGTAAGGCAATATGCTAAACAGTCATTAAAACACAGAAAATCAATGACAATCTCTAAGCATGATGAAATGACAACACTAACAGTAACTAGTACCGCAATTCATTTATCATTTGCTGTTACTGCAAGAGCTCAGACTTGAGCATGGATGGGTTTAACATTTTTAATGTTTATGCATTTTAAAGTTTGGTCTGTTACTTTTTGACACAATTTATATATATGTATATTATATGCCGACGTCAAAACGCAAAAACTATGATCTATGAAAACAAAAACTGTAAAAACTAACAATGCTGTACTGGTGGTCACTAGAAGGTGTCCATACGGGACTACATTTATCCAATGTATCACATGACTTCTCATTTACATAAACTTAAATGGTCGCATTGTTCTGTAAATCACTCAGTTGAAAAAAACAGCATATGCTGGTTAGGTATGTTTTGAAGCTAGGATGCTGGTTTGAGCTGGTCCTTAGCTGGTCCCAAACTGGTCCGACCAGCTTAAGACCAGCACATGACCAGCTCAAACCAGCATCCCAGCTTCAAAACATACCTAACCAGCATATGCTGTTTTTTAACAGGAGTGATCGCATCTTTATAACTATTTTGTCAAACAAGGCCTTAACCAGGCATAACATCATACAGCAACAAGTGACAAAAGCGCTCTATTCCAGGTTCATTTTTTTTCCATGGAATATAAAGTTGAAATTAGATTGATCGTATCCAAACAAACATAACAAGTGACCAGTGACAGGTCATTACAGCAGCTTATATATTTATTTTTAGTAAGCACAGTTTAAGTCACAAGTACTTACCAGTGTTGTTATTATCAACTAAAACTAAAACAATTCAAAATCATTTTCATTAACTGAAATAAGCTGAAATAAAATATAAATATTAGATGAAAAAAAAAAGTTTTTAAATGAGAAATAATTAATAAATTAATTTAAAAAATGATTAAATAAAATAATAAGTACTAAAATGACTAAAAATGACAGAAATATATTTCAGCAAATAGAAATATTTTTTAAAAAGTAATAAAAATAACAAAAGCACATAACAAAATTACTCAAATTAAACTGAAAACTGAACATGTAAAATAAAAAATAAACTAACTGTAATAGATAAATTTAAGTTGAAGTACTAAAATGGGTACAAATTCAATATAAATAAATAATTTATAATTAAATAAATCATTTATTATTATTATAAATTATATAAAAACAAACTAAAAATGACAAATGCACTAAAATGAAAATGAAAACTGAAAATATAAAAAATATGTAAACTAACTGAAATCAATAAGTTTAGGTTGAAGCACTAAAATGACAAAAACATATAAATAAAGGCTAAAAAAGAGAAAAACAAATAAAAAGTAATAAAAACTACCAAAGCTCTTAAACTAAAATTCAAATTAAAAAGAAAACCGAAAATATAAAAATGATAAAGTATTAATAAATACTACAGTGGTACGTAAATAATTCTCAAATAGCACTGGTACTTCTTGAATCAGTTCCATCGCATGTGTGTTTTTTCTGCCATCAGTTTGTAGAAGTGGAGGGTCAGATCACCTCTCTGGTGGACCTGTACCCATCCCTCCTAAGGAAGGGATACCGGAGAGAAATCTTCATCGCTGTGATCTGCGTCATCAGTTACCTGCTGGGACTCACCATGGTCACTAAAGTAAGATAAGGCGAGACAGAGGAGTGTGTTGTATTGATTCGGGGTGTTTGAATGCTGAATGTGTGTCTGTCTCTCTCAGGGTGGCATGTACGTCTTCCAGCTGTTTGACTTCTACGCCGCCAGCGGTGTGTGCCTTCTCTGGGTTGCATTCTTTGAATGTGTTGCAGTAGCCTGGGTTTACGGTAAGTGCTCACTAGTGCTCGACTTTTCTACTCCACCTCTATAATAAACGTATACAAAATCTTAAAATCAGGGAATTTCGACAAAAGTTTTTTTTAACAAAAGAAATCTATCAATCATATTTTAATTCATTTGGTATTATAGAAATGGATCATTTCTAGTTTTAAAGGATATTTTATAATAACTGAAGGCATTTTATTTGAATTTAATTTAATTTAATTTCTTTTTTATTGTAATTTAATTTAACTTTTTCTTCATTTTTCTCTTAATTATTTAAGAAAAAAGTTAATTCAGACTTAAATACATGTATTTAAAAAAACTGTTAAAATCTGTGAATTTATACTTTTTGAAGGAAATAAATATTTCAATCATATAATTCATTTGTATACTGATTTTTTTTTTAAATGAGGATTTTAATTCGTAATATATACACGTTTTAAAATGTTTAAAGTTTAAAAATTTCCGTTATATACACTACCATTCAAAAGTTTAGGGTCAATATGATTTTTTTTTTAAAGAAACTGATAATTTTATGCAGTAAGGATGCCATCAATTTGTCAAAAATGACAGTAAAGACATTTATAATGTTACAAAAGATTTCTATTTCAAATAAATGCTCTTGGTGGAAATTAAATTGAAGTTTAATTTTCAATTGTAATAATATTTCACAATATTACTCTTTTAACTTTATTTTTGATCAAATAAGTGACTTTCAAAAGCATAAAAAAATCTTACTGCCCCCAAATTTTTGAATGCTGGTGTATTAATATACATATGAACCTAAAATCATCATGTTGATGCATAAAAGAGCTCATGGATGTTGTGCATCACATGCCTAGATACACAAATCGTCATAAAAATCACTGAGGTTTCAAGGTATGTGATGAAACACTGTAAACAGTCATAAACACACACTATATGCACTATTATTAAACGGGTGTCTCTTCAAAAATTGTGGTCACTTGTGTTTACAGCATAAATCCTGAACTCATTTGTAGCGTCATGCCTCTTATGATCTTTGCATTAAGCTCATTAATGTTGCTCAATCAACAGTCTAAGGATGTCTGCGGAGATTAATCTTATTTAGTCTTATATAATCACATCAGTCCTCGGGGCTTACTTCAGATCTCTATTTTTCATCCCGAGTGGCCCCACATGAAATCTGCATACTTTTCCTCATGTTTTCAGTGTTGATGGTTCGGAAAAACCCAACAAAAAAAGAAAGCTCACAGCACAAATCTTGACTGCATGTGTGCGTTTGCAGGGGCTGATAATTTCTACGATGCTATAGAGGACATGATCGGCTACAGACCCAACAGCTGGATGAAATGGAGCTGGATGCTGATCACACCCGTGCTTTGTGTTGTACGTGTGCGAACACAATTCATGCTTGAGAAATATGGCCAGCAGCAATGCTTTGTGATTATCCCCATCTTTCCATTTCAGGGTTGTTTTGTCTTTTCATTGGTGAAATACAAGCCGCTCACCTATAACAAGTTTTACGAGTATCCTGATTGGTCCATTGGATTGGGTTGGGCTCTTGCGCTGACTTCTATGATTTGCATCCCGATGATGGTCGTCATCAAAATCATCCAATCAGACGGCTCCCTGATAGAGGTGAGAAATGCATGAACTGCACGTAAAATACGTCAAACATACACATCTATTGGCAGTTTGATTAGAAAAGTACAATATATCTGACATTAGGATGATTCTTAAGTTAGAGGAAAACTTGTCTAGACATTCTACATATAAAGAAGTATTTGATAGAAAAACAGTCATTTTAGATTTAAAGGATTATTATATTAACTTAAGGCTTTTTATTTTCATTTGTTTTCATTTTCATTTTAACTTTAAAAAAAGTTAATTTAGACTTTTTTTTTTTACTTCACCTCAATAGTAAATGTAAAAAAAACTGTTCAAATCTGTGAATTCTAAAAAAAAATTCTAGATTTTTTTGTAAAATCATAAAAAAAGAGAAGAAAAGCTATCTATATGATTGACAAAATCTATTTTGTCAATCATATTTTAATTAATTTGGTATCGTATACACAGATAATTCTTAGAAAAATTCTTGTTCATTCTTGTTTTAAAGGTTTTTATTGTTTTATTTAATTTTTACATTTTCTCTTATTTTTTTAAATAAAAAAGCGAATTCAGAATTATCTAAGCCCCCTCGATGATAAATGTGTTAAAAATGTTGAAGTCAGGGAATTTCTACTTTTTTCATGAAAAGAAATGTATCAATCATATTTAAAAAATTTTGCTATTATATAAATATATATTGTATTGTATAAATAATTTAAAGAGTCATTCTAGTTTTAAAAGATATATATATATATATATATATTATAACAAGGCTTTTTATTTTTATTTTAATAGTAACATTTCTTTCAAATTTAAGAAAATAAGTTAATTACTTCCTACAATAAATGTATTAAAAAAACTGTTAAAATGTGTGAATTTCTACTTTTTTTAAAGAAAAGAAATCTAACAATCATATTTGAATTCATTTGGTATAGATATTGGTTTTCCAAAAAAGACTATTATTTGCTCATTTTAATCCATACATTTTATTTTTGATTCGATGTCAATGCTGTCAAGGTTATTTTTAAATTGGTTTATAATATCATCCATGATTTCACTCCTGGGTCATAAAATCTGCTATCGTCTTCAAATCTATGTCACTGTATTTGTCATTTTTAATGATAGTCTTGAAAACGTCCTCAAATCAATGAATGCATTGTGTTCAGCGGATCAAAGCCGTGGCGGCGCCGGTTAAAGGAGGTGCAAGCTCTCGTCCGAAGGAGTACAGCCAGAAGAACAGCGAGCTGCTTCACCCGCTGGACCCCAACGGCATCCACACCTTCGCCAAACACAGCCACACCATCATAGAAACTACTATGTGAGGCTCTCTAAGAGAGATTCCCATATTCTCCCGCTCCTGTCCTCTATATGGGAGATCCCGTTTTCCTGGTGTCCCACTCCCTTCCCCACCATTCCACTCTCTCGCTCTGCACTAGTGCGTTTTTATGAAATGATCTTATATCAATATATCTTTTTTGCATTGTAGGATTTGTATTCTGATTATAATCAATGGTATTAGCATTAATGCTGATATTGTAATAACCTGATGTGAGCTTGCTGTCTGGGGCGGTTTGTTTAATCTGTAGTGTTTCACATTAAGCCACGTCCTAACCAGGAACGACAGGATTTACTGCTCATCTCATTATGATTTCTTTCATATTTTGGAATTTTGGTCCTACAGAGCCACAATGAGACATTTTGCTTTCTATTTTGGTCCTGTCAATCTGAATAGCCCAGCCAACAACAAAAATTGTCTTAAATTTTTGTCTTTAAATTGTCTTAAATTTTCTCTTACTTTTTTAAATATTATTTTTAAGTGAATTCAGACTTTTCTACTTCAATTTAATAATACATTTATTAAAAAGACTTAAAATCAGGAAATTTCTACTTTCTTCAAGAAAAGATATAATTTAATTCAGATTTTAATTCATTTGATTTGGTATACACAGATTCCCTTTTTTTTTTTTAAACAAACACATTGTTTTTATGTTGTTCACACTAAATCTAAAACAAAATTTTTAAATACTTTTTTTTTTTTTATTAAAAAAAAATTATAATATCATCAATAATTTCAGTTTTGGGTCATAACAAAAAAAAAAGGGCTATCAAAATAAATTCTATATCACTGCTTTATTTTTTATAATAGTCTTGAATACCAATTCATTCACTCAAATGAATGTCACAGCGAAATCTCATTGGTCCAAAATCCTGCTCCGTGTAGATTTACATACATAAACCATCAATGTTTTTTTCTGATTTTGTTGCTTTGCATTGCATTTTACTGTGTATGATGACTTTTATTGTGTCGCACCTGGTTGGAATGCAATTCATCAGCAGAGAGAGCGAGTTTTAGCTTCATTTTTAGGAAGTCTTACTGTAAAACAGCAACCATCTAAATGTGACACGCTACATTATGACGTCCGTCAGTGGTTGTGGCAGTAACTCTTGTTCGATGAGATTATTAAATGTTATTTGTCTTGAAGAAAAATGAATGTACCTCCGCTTTGAGCGGACGCTGTGCACAGACATGCACACACACGTAAGACATAAGCAAACCTTAACACTCTGTCCTTTCGCTCTCCTTGAACCATAGTGATCACTGCCATCACACACACCGAGCCACTGAGTTCCTCTAACACTGTACAGCTGTGTTCACTAATAGAAGAATCATTTGATGCACTATTATAAGCATCATTTACTGTAAGATGATCTGAGAGCTGATGATTATCAACACCACGCAGGGCCGTTTGGCAGCACTTTACTAGCTGTTCATGTACAGCGGGGGTATATACAGTGGGTACGGAAAATATTCAGACCCCCTTAAATTTTTCACTCTTTGTTATATTGCAGCCATTTGCTAAAGTCATTTAAGTTAATTTTTTT